TTCTGTCTTATTCCAAAGCCAAAGAATTAAAATGGTTCACGTTTGTGGCTTTTCTAAAAAAGCCAATTGTGAATAAGAAAGTGGGTTCTCAGTATTAATTTTATTTGATTTATGTTTCTTCTCATTATATATTTCAGTGCAGTGTTGTGACTATATTATAAATTTGTTGGTTTTGACATTATCTATTGAATTTTACAAAATACTGATGTTGCTACACTGATTATAAGCTACAGTCAGCATTACTAATATATTTACTACACAATGATAAGTAAAATAGTATCACGAGATACAGCAGCATTCGATGACAGGATCTTGTATTTCTTGCCAACTCTGACTTTCTACTATGCTGATACTGAATTTCTGATAGTTTTTCTCTGGAAGGGAATGCCTTAGGTGCCCTTTTCCTACCATACTACCTTTTTTGCCACTGTTGCACCCAGACTGGATTTACTGAACCCAAACTGTGTGAATAGCATTGCGGCACTTCTTCACGCCCACCCAGGTGCTCTCTCCCCCTCCTTGACAGGAGAGAGGAAGAAAATAGAATAAAAAAAACCTCATGGGTCAAGATAAAGGAAGGGAGATCGCTTATCAGTTGACATCATGGGCAAAATAGACGTGACTTGGGGAAAGTTAATTAATTTTATTGCTAATTGAAATAGGTGTGGGTGCTGCGAAATAGAGACAAAAACATTGAACCAAGTTTTCCCCCACCTCCTTTCACTCCTTCGTTCCTGACTCCTCTGGCCCCAGCCCCTCCTTGAGCTGCGGTGGGCGGGCTGGAGCCGGCTGTGTCCGGCTCCTCGCGGGCCGCCAGCGCCTGGGCACATGCCAGTGGCGCACGTTTCCCTCTAATGTCCACTCCGGGCAGTCGTTACCCGCTCTGTATGCTGCGTGTGTCAGTGCGGCTGCCTGGAGATTACTTACTTGTTGAATTTTTGCAGCCATATGTACTCGGCCTGAGCTTGGACTTTTTTCCCAATGATCAGGCCAAATGTCTTTCTACTTCTGGGACCAAATCAACTTTCAGGTAGGGGTCAGGACTTTTTTAGTTTAGTTACAATAATATTCAGTACCTGATTATGTGCAAGATTATGAAATGAAGCACATCTGCTATTTCAAGTGCTTACATGTAATTTCATAATTAATTACCTTTTTTTAAAAGAGAATAATTCATTATTTGTTAACTTTATACATATAGAAAATATTTCCAATTAAGATCTGTTGGTCAATGGCTCCAACATTTAGTGGTTCTATCAGTACAATGTGGCAAAAAAATATCACTTACTGTCTTTTATAAACATTTTGGTCACATTTGTAAGCATTTGATGTAGCTGTGAAGGCTCTGTTGCAATGTAGTTTAGCATAAATAGGGCAAAGTCATTAGGTGGTGTGGCTGGGCTACAAGGAGAATGTCAATTCATTTCAAGGCCTAATGCAGATATTAAAGAAGTTTGGGAAGACAAATTCATCAGCTGGAGACAGAAAAGTGACTGCAGTCTAATTTAAGCATCTACAAGGGTATACTGACAGTTTCTTCAGTTTTTATCAAAGGCATTTTTCATGTCTAGATCAGTTTATATAGAGATATACATATATATGAAATGCATACAAATTTTTGTATGTATGTCTGACCTGTGTTTTCACATATGGTCCAATATGACTATTATGAGAGTCTGTTTCAGCTTTTGAACAGAGCAAGCATAACCTATATATGTTTGTGTGTATGTGTATATGTCTATATGTAGCTCAGCTATATGTTGCAGAATGATAGTGAAGGTCTATAAGACATGCTTTTTATTAGCTGCCATTCAACTCATCATGGATTTATTCCAAAACAGAACTATATTCAGGAATATTCATTTTTTAATCTTGCTGGTGCAATCAATATTATGTGATGATACATCTTTATAAATACCCTAATATTAAAGCATTAATTTAGAGGAAATGTTTATGTGAGTTGACCTAGGTTTCATGAGTTTCTGAGCATTTTGTGCAAAACAGTATTACCAAAAATCATAACCAAGAAAACTCTCCAAACCAAAAGTTTAGAAAGCCAACATTAGTTTATTGCAGCACTGGGTACATGGGGGATTTCTCCTCCTAACATGCACACCAAGGAAAAAAGCACACTCATTATATACATTAAAAAAAAAAAAATTATATAATTCCCAAGAAGTACCAGCTTATTTCCAGGGAGTCTAATGCATATATTAAGTACCTGCCTATTTCCAGGGAGTCTAATGCATACATTGCGAGCCTACCTCCACGCACGCAGACTTTCTTATCTTGTCTGTACAAAGCATACTGAATTGGGGAAGGGTCCCTCTTTGCCACATAGCCTTGCTTATCTTGTCTGTAAAAGGCTTGTACAGAGGGGCCAGTTATTGGTATATTAACTAAATTGTTTAAGTCTTTGGTATCAGTAGCTGGTCTAAATCCACAGAACAAATGTTCTATTTTAATATTCTATTCTAGTTTAATTTAGTTTAAATAAATTTAAACTATTGAGCTTTACCTCACTTTAAGATAATCTAGAATTTATGATTAAAGACAATGTAGAAATCCAGAATCTTTAAATCAGGCATTAATTTTTTAAAAAAGCATCCAGTTACTGCAGAATTTCAGAAGTATTTAAGAATAATGACAGCTGAATCTTGACTAAAAATTTTGCCTATGTATATATAGTCTATGTTAATATATATAAAATAAGCCTTTATATATATCAAATAGTCTTTTATATATATCATATATGTATATTTTATATGTATAATAGTCTGCAGGTAGAGGGAGGAACTGCCTTTGAACAGTAAGGTAGGAGTTACAGAGGTACCAATCATCTTCAGTCTTTAGTAAGTAATAAATAAGGTCTAAAATACTGCAGGAAATGAGGAGTAGAGGGTTTCAGGAGACATAGTTGTTCTTTTACATTAGAACTCAAGATACATTGGTTTGCTTTGCATTCCTGACACACCTTAAAGAAGCATTCTAATTTTGCTGTGCTCTTCCTGGTTATTCCTACTGTGATCATCCTGAGAGGTTTTAGGCAGAAAACAGTGATCGTAATTTTTTTTCCACAGTGTTTTCTTCCACAATGAGACCTCAGATTCTCTCATAGTCAACTGTCCACAAAATCTTTGACTTGATTAGAACACCTCATATCAGAATGCTGGGCGTAAGCAGGTAGCACTAACGGTTACAGTTTTAGTAGTAAATGTGGATTAAGGCTGTGAAAAAAAAGTTAAAATGCTTGAGTAGAGAACAAGAAGAGTAGAGAAGTGGGGCCCTGGGAAAGGGAGGATTCTGTCCATCAGGAAGGAAGAATTTGAACAGAAATGCAGGTCCTTTCTGGGACACTTGCTTAATCTTCAGACACTTTTTTTTTTTTTTTTAAATCTCTTTCTTTTATGCATTCCCTACCCCTTTGCTTCTGCACCTGCATTCCTCAAACTCTCTAATCTGATCAGACTGCCTGTTATGTGCTTTCACTGACCTTACTGAGCTCCTTACTGCTTCTCCCTTGCAGAGGTGGACTTCCTAACTAAATGATTGCAGAACATTATCATTCCCTCCCAGGGACTGATCTGTTGTCAGTCACTAGTGCTACTGCAGATTGTTAACAGTGGAAATCATTGTTTGATGGTCTGAAAGATGGGTTGGCAGGATGGAGGCAGATACTTTAAGTGTTTCTTAAATACATGGATTTTACAGGTACAGCAAACAGTAAGCTTTCAGCAGCAGTACTTTATATGGGTGATTCATATGCCTGCTTACTTAATCAACCAAATCAGAACATGTATGTGTCCAGACAGTGTTTTCTTCAGTATTAGTGTTGGGGGTTTTATGGTCAGCTCTCTTTTCCAGAATATTTTTATAACCTAAAATTCTTAGCCTGTGTGACTGCTTACTTGATATCTTCACCTGTCCTGGGTTTTCATATCCATCAGGCATAAGCTTGATGTTTTCATGTAGGTGAATACATCACCCACTGGTGGAAGTACTATTTTAGGTGCACAAGAGGAGGAGGTACAATGTTCGAGTAATCCTGCATCTCATGATGTTGACCAATGTGGCGCTGTGCTAAAATAGTGCTCTGAAGAAACACAAGCACCAGCTTCCTCCAAGTACAACATCAGGGTGGTAAATACATCTACAGGAGTTAGTCTGCTGTGGCTAGTTACTTTTCTGATTGATGCATGCTCTGGTTGTGCTCATATTAGAGGCCACAGTCATTAGCATCCATTTCTGACAGACAGGATCAGGGCTGCAGACCCTGTGTGCAAGCCACACACAAACCAAATGCAGTACTTGTTTCCTGAGTGACATGGATATGAAAAAGGGGGAATACCTCTGCCCTGTAATAGGAATCAAATTGCATCAAAGATGTTATTTGAAGTTCTTCATTTTAAAAAGCTCCTTATGCAGTAGTGTGCTATGCCTTTAATTAAATCCTGATGTTTTAATACATGTGTCTATGCACATGTGTGTGTACATGTGTTCTTTCTAGTCAGCAAATACTTACAGATAATGAAGACAGTCACAAAAGACCATATTTGAAACACAGAAATGTGCTTAATGTATCACCTAAATTAATCAAACCAAATATGTAAGATCTAGATATGTATGATGTATTAATATATATTTATGCATCCATTTATGTGTATGCACAGAGAATTAATGTATTATATCTACATGAAAACATATTTCTCTAATACCCTATGCCAGTTTTATAAAATGAATTTGTTTGTAGAAGTTGTCTTGAGCTGGTATATAAAATCAGGTTGCCCACCAAAGTGTTTATTCAGGTAATTCCATTGGTCTTGCCTACTCTTATCCATTGTTGGTGTGGCTTGATGCTCAAGATATTCTTCATTCCTAGTCACAAATGTTCATACCAAGTTTCTTATAGATCAACAGAGATGTTGATTTCATTGTAAGTAATGTGCTTTCCATGACGTGGTTCTTTGTTTTAAAGTAGCTGTTATTTGTCACACTGACAGGTACACCTACTGCGAAATGCTGGCGATGAAGTTACCATCACTGTTCAGTACCTCAGGGAAGCTCCATCATTTTTAAAGCTCCCATTAGGTAAGAGGAAATTAACGGATAGGAGTAATTTGTTTTCCTCTTTGCAGTATTCTCATAAGAAGATGACAGTAACAGAGATAGGAATTCAATCTTTGAGTGCTTTACAGGAAGAAATAGAAAATTGTATGTGTACTTTATTGCTTAACGTATAAAAATCTAATGCATACTGTATGATTACTTCCATATAGTTTATTCAAAATAAAATTAAAACTTAATTTAAATACAGTACAATCATGGGTGATATCTGAAACTTTTTCTACAGAAACTTTGCCTGAATATAATAAAATAGTGTTTACAAACGTTTGAATTATACATTCACACTGAAAGGTATTTTCAGGACACTTAGCAAACAAATGGATAACATTAATTCTGCATATTTCATAAATTACTTTGATATATTGATAATTTTTATCAAAGAGCAGAATTGCAATGTCACAACTGAGTAGTTTAAGAGTAGTAATAGTAAATTGTTTATGAACAATGCAGATGATGGAAAATTTTGTTTTTCCTGGTTAGCAGATATAAACACTCAAGATACTCACTTGAAATAAATATTGCAAGTAGAAGGGTGTACATAATATATTGGCTAACTTAATCAAACCAAATAATTTGCACCAGTTTATCTTACATATGATTCTCTTTCCAAATTAAGCAAAACAGATTTTAAATGTATCTTGTTTTGGAGATTTAAATAAATTGGGCTCAACTACATCCTTGATTTTTAATGATTTCAGCAGAATAATAGGTCTCATAGGTGTAGTTCTTGTCATTAGAAGAGTGTCTGTCATGTCATCTAGATTCTTACACTTACTGTATTACACTTATACCTCCCCAACTTGATGGGCCTCTGCTAAGCTGAACTACGTTTTATGCTAAAACCATTATTTAAGTTCTTACTGCATATCATTTCCATTTGAAAATGGAATCTAAATTTGAAGAAATCTTGTTTAAATTTGGAGATCTTTATCTGGTCAGTACTCCTTATAATGAGATTTGAGGTTTTGTCTTCCTACTTTTCTATCCTAGGTCATCAGACAACTATAGACCTATAGACTAAATCAATAATGCCTTGGATAACTGTCCAAGCTTAGATATAACTTTGGTAAATTAGCAGGGTCTTATCAGCAGTTCCTGTGATGTAGACCATACTCATTTGTGGTTGTGAAATCCTACTAGCAATTTTATCTCATTGTGTTGACTGACATCACATACACACTTAGACTCTATTACTTGTGGTCAGTGAACCTTGACTAAGAGCCAAACTCTCACCCAGCTGCTCTTTCACACTCCCTCCTCAAACATAAAATGGGGAAAAAACAGAATGAAAAAGCTCTTGGTCGAGATAGAGACAGGGAGATCACGTATTAATTAGCATCATGGGCAATATAGACTCAACTTGGGGAAGCCTAATTAAATATGTTGCATATTAAAATAGATTCAGGCAGTGAGAAATAAAGACAAATAATTTGAAACAACACCTTCACCCGATCCCTTTTCCCAGGATCAATTTCATTACTACCTCCCCTCTACCTCTACCCTCCCTCTACCCTCTACCTCCCCTGCAAGTGGTGCAGGGGGATGCAAACTGAGGGGTTGAGGTCAGTATACAGCATTCCTCTCTGTCACTTCTTCCTTCTCACACCTTTACCCTGCTCCAGTGTGGGTCCTCCCCACTGGCTACATTCCTTCACAAACTCCTCTAGCATAAGTCCTCTTCATGGACTGAAGTTGTTCCAGAAAAATCTGCTCCAGCATGTCCTACCACGGGCTGAAGCTTCCTTCAGGGGACATCCACTTACTCCAGCATGGGGTCTGCCATGGGCTGCAGTGTGGGTATCTGCCCTGACATGGTCCTCCATGGGCTGCAGGGAAATACCCATCTCACCTTCATCTCTGCATGGACTGCAGGGGAATCTCTGCTCTGACACTTGCAGCACCTCCTCCCTCTCCTTCTTGAGTGAAGTTGAGATATGATTTTTTCTCACACTTCTTTTCCTTCTCCCTCTGCTGTGCATCATTCTGCCCTTCTCAAATAGTTTCCTGGATGTTCTAACAGCTTGGCTGAAGAGCTCAGCTGTGCCCTGCAGTGGGTCTGTTGGAGCTGGCTGGATTCGGCTGTGTCTGGCACAGGACAGCCCTTGACTATCTCCCACCCCTGGAGCCACCCTGCCTCCCAAAACCTTGCCACTTATACCCAGTACACACTGTGTGAGACAGCTGCCGCCTTCACAAGGAGTTCATGCAGGTCCAAGAATGTTATTGTCCTCTTGGTACATCATGGGAAAGAAAAGGAACTGAGCTGACTCCTGCATAGCCTTTCTCACCAGGACACTGCAGCCATTCCTGTTGGGAAGGTGACATCATGGCACTGCTTCCATAAAGTGCTGTTTCTGAAAAGAGAAAACGGTGATTAGCAGGGAGACCAGGTCATCTTCTATCTCCATGTGACTAGAGGTGCATGCAAAAATTCTGTAGGTAAATAGCCTCCATGAACACTTGAACCAGGAACTTTCACTCTACGGAAACTTCCATGCTCTTTCAAAGGGCCTGTTTCATTGCCTGTGGCCAGCTAGTACCATTTGGAGTCTGCCACTGATTACTGTTCTTCAGAGAAAACCTATCTGGAATAGGGAAGACAGTGCCATTTTAGACAAGCTATCACAGACTACCAACAAGCATAGCAGAGAAGCTGTGCTACTTAAATGAAAGAAACATCTTGGATACAGACAGCTCATTTTGGGCAGCTTATTAGACTTGACTCCTTTAGGCAGAGCATGAGGAAATCTTTGGCAAGCATTATATTCCCCTGCCCAGTCCCATACATGATCTCATGCCTTCATTCCTATAGTATATGCTCAGCAAAAGGACTTGCTAAGTATGATCAGACAGCTGAGGAACTTAAGAAATGACCCTTCTTCTGAACTGAAGCTGACTTCAGCACAGAGCTCACCTGCTCCTCTCCGGGCAGCCGTCAGGCAGAAACCAAGCTCAATCAGTCAGATGATCATTGGTAATGGACTTGATGTAACTACTTACCCCGTGGTGAGGAAATAAGCCAGTAAGCTGTAGAAAATTACTGAAAGTAGATACGGTTTAGGGCCATACACTAAAGTTAAGGAGACTGGCAGTTGGACAAAGCGCCCCATTTCAGGAAGAGCTTTTCACAAGCCCATGCACAAAACAGGACTTTGAGGCACAAAGCATCAGTGACACATATAACAAGCTCAGTAGCAATTCTGCTATGCAGCTCACACTGCAGGCAAGATTTAAGCGTATACGTGCATAAATCTGAAGTATCTTGGCCTTTCCTTAGCATCCCAGAGTACGTGATCCCCTATCTTCGAGTATTCAGTCAGACCAGCTGTATGCTGGCAGTTTTACTACAGTGGTGTGTTCACTTTAAATGCAACCATACTGTCTCTTCCTATTAATCAGTAGTATTACTAATTCTTAGAAGTACATCATCAGGAGTAGCACGTGTCTCCACTGATTCCTTCTCACACATCTTCCATCCCTACACTATCTCATGCTGTGGCTGGCATATCACAAGATGCCACAACAGGGATATACCTGCCTGCAGTTCTCACCACATCTTTCTGGTTGCTTCACTCTTTCATGAATTGTGAACAACAAATACAGGATTTGATGTGGGTTTAGACAGGGATACTGATTAACTGGGATTTAAAGATGAGACAAGGACCATTTGTTTCTGTGGAGAACGAAGAATGGGCATAACCTAGGGGAGTGTGCCAGTACTGATGGTTGTCTCAGAGCTGCCTGGGACTCTTGGCCCTTACTAGACTATTGTGAGACTGTCCATAATGGTAAACTAAATTATACCAGCAAATATTCTCTGCCACAATAATTTGATCAGTGATTTTATAAAATATTGCAGAGCAGTTAGCATAATTTTGCATAGGGCAAATACTTCTTTCTCAAAAAACTATCAGGTCTGAATCAGAAGTGAGCATGGGACAGTAGGGTCATTAACTGTCTGCCTCATTGGGTTGTCTGGCTCAATGGCTAGGGTCATTCCTCATCCCATGGCCTGTGGTTTGCTCTAAGGTCACTGTCAGCTGGAGAGAGGATAGATTTGTGTTTCTGGAAAACAAAGGAAGGAATTCTGATTTTTGGAGCTGGGTCAGGAAGTTGTTAGTGGCGATAAGGGTTATTTGTTATCCCGTTACAGAAGAATTATGACATCACTCGGGTATAATCATTAAGGATTCTCTGGAGCTAAGACTGTTACCCATGCCAGAGTTAAGCAGGATTTGTAGGACCCTTTTAGATAAGATTCACTACTTCTGGGAAGACTCTTCAGGACATTTTACACTAAAACAGGCTGTCTTAAGAATTTTTCTTTTTGATAGTTGTACCAAATTATCTGAATATTCTGAAGTTGCAAAGCTTGCAGTATAATTAAAAATCATCAGGAGTGTTTCCTTTGATTTTAATTTCGTGGTTGATCTGGAATGGGCTTTTTATCTATTGAAGGTTGTCTATTGACATAATTACCAAGTTAGATAAATGAGATTTTATTTTTATACAAGAGGTCTCCAGTATCATTCAGCAATGTTGATTATAAGTCAAATTATTGCAAAGGATTAAATCTTGCTGACTACTTGCTGTACATTGATCTGCCGTCGTGCGTTTTGGGGAGGTGGCTTGTTATTTAGAGATTCAGTGTAGTTCGCTGACTGAAATAAACAACCACCTGTTGGTGGGGCTCTGAGTTGACCAGAAATTTAACAGAGACCTCTCTAGGTCTAGAAAGCTTAAGGCTTTTAAAGGTAAAAATAAAATCTAGGCTTTATTAAAATAAGTAGTAGAATACCTAACTTTTAAAATTGAAAAATCTCAGTGATTCTCTCAAAAATAATATAAAAGGATTTGTAAACAAATCCTACCTGTACCACTGCAAATGAGTTCTTGCTCTAGGTTTAGTGTCAGCTAGCTTGGTGATTTCCTGAGTTACTGCTAGCTCTGCAAAATCCCCTGTGATCCTTATAAAGTTACTTTCCCTAACCTCAGAGTTCTGCCTTTTTTCTCCTTGCTACCCCCAGGGGCCACTCGTTCTCTTTTGTGAACTGCAGACTCCTATATACTTGCTGTATCACTCCCTGATCCCTTCTCACCTTACCAGGTGTTTTGGGTTTTTTTGTCTTTTTTTTTTTTGTTTTTTTGTTTTTTTTTTCTCTGAGTATACTCAGCTATTTGTCAGGTAAAAATCAGTCAAAGATCTTTTCCTCTCCCACAGGATCCTTCCTGCCCCAGCCTTCTGAAGAGAACAAAAATGCCACAGCTGAGACTAAGTAAATTAAAGAGATTAAGCCTGTCATAGTGTAGGTTTGTATTCCTCATAGGCTGGCTGTCTAACTATGATTTGGGTGGGATAAGAGGACAGATAGGCAGTAATGATTGCTGAAAATCTCACAGCACACCAAATGCCTTTTTTCTCACATCAGTACCCATCAGGGTACTGTATTGTGGTCATGGAGGGGGGATTTACCTTTAGCAGATATTTTATTTTATATAAAATCTTTTTTTTATAGTCTTTGTCAAACTAATGTTCCAGAGTTTGAGTGGTCCCTAACATGTGGTTTGGAGTCCCATCTACTTGGGCAAGGGCTACAGTAGCAGATAGTACAACATTTACTTTGTTAGTATATTTTATATCATGTATATCATGTGGATGTATATACTGTGTTTTGTTCTAAGAACAAGAGGGAAGAGTATCTGATTGCTCTATGGCTTCCATGTGGGGAAGGCAAACAGTGCTCCTTGGAGATACTAGAGCACTGCACATTCCATGAAAACAGTTGAGCATATACAGTGGGAGCTTCTAAAATGCTGAGTGAGGTTGTGAAGAAGTAGTCCATGAGTGAGTGAGGCAGAATAGTCAGGGAGAAGACTAAAAGACTTGTTAACTTGCTTGCAAATGATGGAGATGGCACAGCCTGAGAGAGGCTATGTAGTTTGTTGTGACTCAGAAAACCAAAGAAAGCTACTGAACTGAAAAGCAAATCTGCAGGGACAATGTGGGAGGACATAAATTTGTTCCTTAACCTTTTATTCTTAGCAATGGATGTCAGTTTTCTCTACTTATAAAAATAATTATAAAGTTGTATTTTGTATTAAGGTAAAACCTGGAATTAGAGATTTGAAAATACCAAAATTCATGTCTTTTGATGGGCTCAGATTGCTGACAGGTCCACTTTAAAAATCTGATTGATTCGTGGACCTGTCATAGTTGTCTACTGCCAGAGTCAATGGGATCCCCCAGCAGTCAGACTTTTCACTGGAGAATTTAATACCAATATTTAATATTTCTAATTATCTCTGTTCCAGCAAGTCACTGTGGTCATCTAATAGTCTGAACATAGATTTTTGAATTCTACTCTATGTATATAGTAGCTACAAAATGTTGTAGCTAGCTACTAAAGTCAGTGCTTTGGTTAGACCCATACAAGCAAGGCACAGTGGTTCCTTCTGCTGACATCATCTAATGCCATACAGAAAGAACTCAAATGAAAACATGCTGAAACTTCAGAATTCAGGGTAGAATTCTGGCTCCTCAGCACTGAACTGACAGAGATTTGTTACAGAGAAAATAAGCTTTTGCTGAATTAAGTTCCATTTTGTTAAATCTTCCAGATATGTGGAAAAGATACATACAAAACTACATGACTAAGAATTACTTTTTGACTTTTGTGATGTTAGACTTGACAGACCTATTAATGTGAAATGATTTACAGGCAATTTCAGGTGACTTCTTCAGATGGAAAAATGAGTTCTCAGTGATGATGAATATAATGCTGTGGAATTGATTTTATGTGCTTTATTGAGAAAACCAAGTGCTCTCTGACAGTAATTGTATATTCTTGGTTTTATACGTTAATATTTTACATTTCAGCAAAAATTACACAATGATGTGACTTTGTGCTGCTTCCAATATTGTATGTTACAAAAGTATTAAGCTTTCCTGGAGCCACTTTAACTAATAAAGCAGGATCATGATGCATAACTGCTAAAGGAAGAGATCGCTTGCAGAATCTAACTGTGTAGTCTTAACATATTAACAGAATATCGACATTTCATGATGACTGACTGCTTTTAATTTTTCAATTTAAGAAGGTGCAGAATTTTTGAAAGTAATTGATGTTTTAAGAAAAAGACATATGATTAAGTGTATGTATGTGTACAGTTAGTACTTGTCTGGGAGATTCTTATTAGCTTTGTTTATAAATACAGTCCATGGTTATACTCTAAGGTGAGACTTTCAACTAATCAAGTCAGTGGATTTGTGTAACTGAATTTCTTACTTGGTTTTGACTACATTCTCAGTGAAAAAAAGGCTTAATTGTAAAATCATAAAATGGTTTAGGTTGGAAGGGACCATAATGATCATCTAGTTCCAACCCCCTGCCATGGGCAGGGACACCTTCCAATAGATCAGGTTGCTCAAAGCCCCGTCCAACCTGGCCTTGAACACTGCCAGGGAGGGGGCAGCCACAGCTTCTCTGGAGAACTGGTCCAGTGTCTCCACCCTCACAGTAAAGAATTTCTTCCTTATAGCTAATCTAAACCTACCCTCTTTCAGTTTAAAGCCATCATCCTTCCTCCTATCATAACACTCCCTGATATAGAGTCCCTCCCCATCTTTCCTGTAGCCCCCTTTAAGTACTGGAAGGCCGCTATAACGTCTCCCTGGAGCCTTCTCTTCTCCAGGCTGAACCACCCCACCTCATTCTTTTCATAGGAGAGGTGCTGCAGCACTTTGAATCATCTTTGTGGACTCCTCTGGACCCGGCTGAGCAGGTCCATGTCCTTCTTATGTTGGGGGATCCAGAACTGGACACAATACTCCAGGTGGGGTCTCACAAGAGTGGAGTAGAGGGGGAGAATCACCTCCCTTGACCTGCTGGCCACACTTCTCATGATGCAGCCCAGGATACAGTTGGCTTTCTGGGCTATGAGCGCACATTGATGGCTTATATTCAGTTTTCCATCCATCAGTACCCCCAAATCTTTCTCCTCAGGGCTGCTCTCAATCCTGGTCATCGCTCAGCCTGTAATTGTGCTGATTGTCCTGACCCATGGGCAGGACCGTGCACTTGGCCTTGTTGAACTTCATGAGGTTTGCATGGACCCACCTCTCCAGCCTGTCTAGGTCCCTCTGGATGGCACATCCCTTCCCTCTAGCATGTCAACCACACCACACAGCTTGGTGTCATTGGTGAGGGTGCACTCATTCCAACTGTCCTTTTCACCAACAAAGATGTTAAACAGAGCTGGTCTCAACACTGACCTTTGAGGAACACCACTCATCACTGCTCTCCACTTGGACATCGAGCTGCTGACTGCAACTCTTTGAGTGTGACCAGCCAGCCAATTCTTTATCTGCTGAGTGGTCTATCTGTCAAATCCATGTCTCTCCAATTTACAGACAAGGATGTTGTGCAGGACAGTGTCAAATACTTTGACCAAGTCAAGGTAGATTATATCAGCTCCTCTTCCCTTATCCAGCAACACTGTAATTCCATTGTAGGCGGCCACCAAATTTGTCAGGCGAAATTTTCCCTTAGTGAAGCCACCTTGGCTGTCACCAATCACCTCCTCATTTTCCATGTGCCCTCTCTTAATTTCCAGGAGGATCTGCTCCATGATCTTGCTGGGCACAGAGGTTAGGCTGACTGGCCTGTAGTTCCCTGAGTCTTTGTTTTTTCCCTTTTTAAAAATAAGGGGCTATATTTCCCCTTTTCCAGTCATCAATCCTGCAAACAGTTAAGTATATAAGTAGTTCATGTGAGCATAGCCTTCATAAAATGACATCTAGCTATCTTTTTTCTTTCTAGACATAAAATATAGCATATGGACATTTGATTGGCTGTCATTTTAAAATACAAATAGTACTTCTGGCTTGGTAGTTTATATTAATTTTTTTTCCTGTATTTTATAACTGGAATACATATTGCCTGATATATACATGTATTTTTAATATAAACAATTATTTTTCATGATCTGATTTCCAGGTTCCCCTGGACCATCCAGTGATCACAGCAGTGGGGCTTCATCACCTCTCTTTGACAGTGGCTTACATTTAAATGGAAACTCAACGAACACCGTAAGCAAATGAATAATAAAATCATGGTGTAAGCTATATAAGATCTTTTCCTATTCTGGGCTTCAAAATGCTAATGTAGGACTGTTAGACCCTTATTTTTTGTTGTAGTTGTTTGCTTGTTTGTTTGATTGATTTTTAAGTGCATATACTGTAAAATTCTATACTTAGAAATTAGCCAACTTGGGGCCCTGGACTTCTAGGTTCTTACTCTGAGGCAACTGTGAAGCTTGTAGGAGTGAGCAGAGTAAGATTTAATCATTCTTTAGGCATAAATTCCTGTGAATTTTTGTCATACTTTATTGAACTGTAGTAATGTACTATTGAATTTAGTCCAGCTAGAGAAGCTGAAATGTACATGGAATTCAGAAAATAATCCGAAGTCAAATTCTTGAAGCAAAATTTTGTGCTAAAAGAGAATGAAATAAAATGGGGAGGCAGACCTAGGAAAAATAAAAGGTCTGTTTCTTCAATGCAGAAGATATTCAGTTCTTTTTTCTGTGGTGAACAGCTACAATTGCCTTAATTGCAGCATTGTGGAAAAAAAAAATTCCTTTCTCTAGAAAGGATACCAGTTACCAAAGACAAAGAAGATAGAAAGTCTTAGTAGGCAACAATGTTGCTTTTTTAAAAAAAATGAAGGTTGAGGATTTAAATACTAGCTGTACAAGGACATGGACCTTCATGCTCAAAACTTATTTAGCTCTTAACAAATCACAGCTGTCGTCTTGCAGTTGGATATTAAATTTTACAGAAGAAATGCCCAGTGAATGGAGCGAAGGTTTCTCCTCTTATCTGTTTTTCCTTTTCTTTCCTGCTCAGCCAAAGATCTCAGTGTCTGCCACTTACTGTACTTCTCCTAAGCTTGCAATTTTTGGAGCACTATCTCTCTAAAGTAATCCTTCAGTCTTGTTTCTATCTGATGAAAGAAATATATATGTATGAATATATACCTATGAGAAATAAATAAACAGAAAGACACTGTTCTGCACTTATACCTCTACCTTAGTGTTTGGAGTCAAAACTTAAGCGTAGATACAGAAGGTTTCATGTTTATTTCTTTTTAATGTTCCAGGTAACTATCACCTTCAATGACCTTGTATTGTCTTACCAAAAAATCCCAGTCTGTTCTCAGGGTCCATATTTCTTGACTGCCTGTCTACCAGGTGCTCTGCAGGCAAAGTCCTTCCTTCAAAGAGCTTACATTATAAGAAGAGGGCTATGGCCAGATGATTGACTGTGATTGCATTAGCATGCTTTAGTAAATTAATGCTTATTAAGTGCTACAATGAGTGTGCCATAATAACTGTCAACAATCATTATCACCGTACTGTGGGAATTGCACACTTTGAATTCTGTGCATTATAAAAACATAAGTAGCTGGAGTTTTGGAGACTTGTAACACAGTAATTTAGAGCTAGTTTCCAAGGTAGCACACAAAAGACTGTTCATAAGCTTGAAATACAAGTGGAAACACAGAAAGTAAAAAAAGGGGAATACTAAGGTACTAGCTTGCTTTTATACAACATTTAATTTTTCTGAAGCTTGACATAGTCACATAAGAAGCTATGTATACACCAGACACTATGACCTAGAAGTGAAATAAAGCAAAACCTTATATCTAGCCTAGTAGTGATGATGTTTCTTCATAGGAAACAAAATTTAAAAATGCCAGGTTCTTACTATAAAATGCGAAAGGAAGGTTCTAAGTATTCTGAGCAGGCATGACTGGCTTTTGAGATGGTCTGCTTAGAGGTGTGTTGTCAAACTTTCATCAAACTAAATTATGAGTGTAAATAAGCTGTGATCAGATCTTCAAAAGCAGTTATAAATGTGTTTCAACTCTCATGTAATAAGTGCTTCTTTTTTTTGATTAGATATTTTCATGTTTATCATAGAATCATAGAATGGTTTAGATTGGAAGGGACCTTAAAGATCATCTAGTTCCAACCCCCCTGCCATGGGCAGGGACACCTTCCACTACACCTCTGAGGTTGCTCAAAGCCCCGTCCAACCTGGCCTTGAACACTGCCAGGGTGGGGGCAGCCACAGCTTCTCTGGGAGACCTGTTCCAGTATCTCATCACCTTCACAGGAAAGAATTTCTTCCTTGTAGCTAATTTAAAATCTACCCTCTTCCACTTTAAAGCCATCATCCCTTGTCCTATCACTACCGTCCCTGATAAAGAGTCCCTCCCCATCTTTCCTGTAGCCCCCTTTAAGTACTGGAAGGCCACTATAAGGTCTCCCCAGAGCCTTCTCTTCTCCAGGCTGAACTACCCCAACTCTCTCAGCCTGTCCTCGTAGGGGAGGTGCTCAGCTCCCCTCATCATATTCATGGCCTCCTTTGGACCCACTCGAGCAGATCAATGTCTTTCTTGTGTTGGGGGCCTACAGTTCTCCAGGTAGAGTCTCACAAGAGAGGAATAGAGGGGGAGAAACACATTCCTCAACATGCTGACCACACTTCTCTTGATTTAGCCCAGAATATGGTTGGCTTTCTGGGCTGTGAGTGCACATTGCTGTGTCATTCAATTTTCCATCCACCAATACCCCTAAGTCCTTATCCTCAGGGCTGCTCTCAATCCTGGTCATTGCCCAGCCTGTATTTGTGCTTTGAATTGCCCTGACCCATGTGCAGGACCTTGCACTTGGCCTTGTTGAACTTCATGAGGTTTGCACAGACCCACCTCTCAAGTCTGTCAAGGGCCCTCCGAATGGCACCCCTTCCCTCTTACAGTAAAGAAAGAGCAGAACTGACATTTCCTGTAATGGTATTGCCAAGTAGTGCTAATGTCATTTAAATCTCTTTTTAATGTCACCTTGGTAAGTGAGATCTCACTCACTTTTAATACCACATCTTGTAAGTTTTTGTTGCAATTTTATGTTCATTCCTAACCACGGTCATATCCATGCCATATTAGACAATTCATATATATTCGTGAGTGGAATTCTGCTCAAAAAAACACACAACAGAAAGGACAGGAATGAGAGGTAAGGAATTACTGTTATGCTAGTTTTACCAATCTGTCATGCAGCATGTCCGTTCTGAAAAACAATTACAGAGACACTTGAGCTGGCTTGTATCATATACACAGTAGTTCAGCCATGTTAACAAGTTACTTCTGCCTAATATGATTATACCATTTTCAGTTCTTGTTCTAGCTTGTGTCGCTTAGACATATCTTTGTCACCTCTGCTGTGAAGCTTCTGTTATATGTGATGTGATATAATCTTCAGGATTTATATACATCCTACCTATAATATCAGAGGAATTTGTAGTATAGCACTTTAAGAAGGTTCCCTGGAAGACAGAAATGAGCCAAAGTGCTCACTTCACACCTAATTATTTTGTGCTTGGGCACTGTGACAAATGCTATAGAGATTGGTAGTGGCAGGTACATTCATCTGTATTTTATAAGCTATTTATTAAGCGCAGTGTGAAATCTCAGAGGGGAACGTAAAACATTCAGAGGAGGTGGTCTCTAGGCTAATGATTACAGGTTGTTTACCTGAAGGATTCTAACTACAAAGCAAGAAAATACTGTGTAGATATTCTTCTAGATGTCCAAATATCCTAGATGTCCAGGCCCCCACTCTGGAGAAACTGGGAATGAAAATGAAAGAGACTGCAAATAAAACAAGTCCCTGTTTAAGACACTATTGAATAATATTAGTGCAAAGGGAAAATTTAGTAGGTTTTCATTTTTATGAAAATCCAGATTCCCTGAATTGTCTAAAAGTGATGTTCTAATAATTATTTTCTGTGTGTTCATGTGATTTAAGAACTCTAATTTAATTTTGAAAGTGTATGTTTAGTTTAGTTGGTTAAATGAAACTAAAAAGGAACTTAAAATTTTCTAAATTGCTTAAAATATTTTTACTTGGTGGCTTTGTTTCATGTGTTAAATTTAAAATTTTTATTTCAAAAAAACATTGCCTACTTCATCACCAAGTACAGTTTTTAAAAAAGAAAAAATACAAATGCTCAACTCTTGATGGGACCAGTAGGATTCTGAATCTTTAACATTTATGGGAGTATTGGTTCCAGAGTGAGAGAATGATATGACTCAATCCTAAGCATGTAAAGACAAAAAGGGAAGAGGATCCAAGAAAGGGAGGATGGACTCCCTCTTACTGAGAGTAATAATTATTCTGATGGATGCTTTATTGGACCAGACTAGTATAATGAGCAGACCATTGAACTGAGATTGAATTGATGCCGTACATCTGAAAATTTCAATAGTTTTATTTTTCGAATGTTCCTGTAGTGTCATCCAACTCAGTATAAGCACAATATTGATCATTCTTAAGGGGTTTTTTATTCTTCGTTTTTATCATCCTGTAGCTCACTTTAAAGGAGAAAAGTTTCAGGATTTCAGATCAATACATTTTCTATTAGAATGGTTTAGCATGTGATGCCGATAGACTGCCAACTCTTGATCTGAAAATCCATTATTTTCTCACTGAATATGAAAGAAATGTAACTTTAAATTGACTTCCAATTCACAGTGTATCATTTAGTGATGTACGTGCATAAAATGTAATTAACGTAATAAATACAGACAATAGCTCACTTAGAGGTACAGTGCTGGTTACTCTCATTAAACAAAGCACCACCACGTCTTCCATTTATTTGCTGAAGAGAAACTTAAAATAGATGAACACACTAGCTATACTTAAATATTTTGGACTGCTGCTGTGCTGAGGACCTTTATGATAGCAGATAAACACACTGCAAATAAGTGTGCTCCTTTTTCTCAATAAAATAAGCAGTGCCTGTCCCCTTTTCACCTTCAGGTAAAAATATCCAAATTTTCTGTTTCTGATTACACCTCTTAGAAATCATAGCAGTAGAAGCTGAAAAAAGCCTATTAAATAACACTCTCCTACTCACTACTATAGAATTGTTAAGGAAATGCTTTTTAATTCGAATGTTGAAATTGCTTGATTTAGATTTATCTGTTCAAAAATGCTGGGTTTTTTCTAGTTCTGATTAGAGTC